GTTAGTAAATCTAATTCTAAGCTAAGCAATTGCTTCGAAAATTACAAATATTTGTCTACAAATAATTTGCTCATTTGGCACGATCATCATTGTCGAAAAATTACTTAAAGTTCAGTATGCTTGAAAATAGTATTTTCAATATTTTCCTGAAGTTTTTCAACTTTGCGCGTTTGTTTCTTTAGCTGCTCCTCTATATCTTCAAACCGATTGCTTTTGTCTCTGTGCTTTTCATCCTAATAAAAGAAACCAGTCTTATAATTATGTATAATTTGAATTGTACTTTTGTCTTATACCTTGTACTTCTCCTTGTGCAGAGCATGCTCGGCATGTAGATGGCGCAGCTTTAGGAGACGACTCTCAAAATGATGCAGCTCGGTTTTAAGGGACATTAGTTCTTTGTCAGTGAAATTGCTGGCCTGAGCCACACGCCACAATCCCTGTACCTTGGGCTCGATAAACTCTTGGCTATGGGGGCCGGTAGATACTAATCGCTCAAGACGATCATAGTGATCTTTGATGCCAACATGATGTCCACGTAGAGTATTCATATCACTTTCAAACTTTTTCACGTTCTGTTCATGCGTCTTAATCTCATTTTCATTGGGATCATTTGAAATGAGATTATACGTATCCAGATCTTCGGTGTTTATAGCATCTATTTCATAAAAAGGAGTTAATAACTGGTTTGTTTTTACAGTGGACTTAAGCTTACTTTCATGGTTGTCCATATCCAAAGTGCCAATATTCTCAAGCAAACTATAATACATATCCACTTTGTCCTGGTGATGATCAAACTCTTGCTTGAGGGATTTCATCTCTTCAGCTGTAAACCCTGAAATTTCTGCTTTCTCCCATAGACGATTTAGTTTCTTGTCCTTAAAAAGACTTTTATTTTTATGTCTTTCCTCTGGATCATGGAATTTCTACAAAGCGGAATTATTATTACAACCTGTTGCCGTAAGACATCAAACATACCTTAAAGGGCTTTGTTTTTTCCACATCCTGAGTGTCCTCAAAATGTTCCAGCAAATCGTAGGTGCTCATTATTCCAATTAGCTTTTGACGTAGCTCATTCTCTTTCAGTCCATCTTTGTCTTTGTGCTGCGAGTTTAGCTGTTTCCACGCGATCTCCTCTTTATCATGGATTTTTAGCTCCATGTACAAAGACTTTATTTTAGTTTCCGTTAATCGCTGACAAAAATAAAGGGAATTTAAATATATTTGAGACATTATAAACCACTTATGACTTACGCTTTGCGCCTTTGACCAGATCAAATTTAGTTTGGCTATACGAAAAGGTCGCTGAAGATTCCGAATTTCCGGCTCATACTTTTCGTCGATGACCTGCTTAAAATGCGGGCTGTTTGCCTCTTTACTGTATTTTTTGCTCTGCCTTTTGTCGGCGTTGACACTTTGCGTTGCGATTAATAGACCTATAGTGGCCAATGCCACAATTAAGTGACACGTTTTCATTATAATTCTTCTGCAAATCAGAGCAAATCTTCCAATCGGACTTTTAGTGTTGAGTTGGGAGTACAAAAAAAGAGTTACTGATTCAGCGGAACAAATGAACTAGTTACTTGGCACTGTTCTAATTGAACAGTTTGTAATTTTTATATAATTTTATTGTGTGGTGCTGCCACCTTTCATGAATTTACATCCATATCGATAAATTCAAATTGAATACTTAAGTGCGACAAGGATAGGGAATTCAAACAAAATGCGGCAAATATAAAACGTGATATTGATGATGTATTTAATACTGTTTTATTTAATATATGTATGTATATAGTGTCAAAATAAGGTATGTACAAAAAACTAAACTAAGACCAAGCATCACATACTAGGACCGAATATATATTGATAATAATTGCACATGGTGATGTTCCTTAAGCTTGTAAAGGCACCTCAGATCAACGTATGGCCTGCGACATATGTAGAGGCGTTACCATAAGCGTCAACTCAGCGTCCTTTAAGTTAGCACCACGTAAGTTCGCCTCCTGTAAATCGCTACCTGATAAATTGCAGCGTTCCAGGTCGGCGCCAGCCAGCAAAGCGCCACGTAAATTACAATTCTTCATATTTGCATTTTTGAGGTTTGCTACGCGTAAATTAACACCAGCCATATTACTGCTCTCTAAGCAAGCACCCTTTAAATTAACGCCCTCTAGGTTGGTTCGCACACCCGTAGGATCCTCAAAGTTGCAGCCACGTAAATTGGCGCCCTCCTGAAATGTATCATTAAATATATCAATAATTAAATAAATTCAATTTGTGTATTCTTGGAAACGACTAGAAGTCCGAGCAGTATGCACAAAAGAACGATTCTTACCATGTTGGCACAAAGACCTCGCACTGAAACCAATTGAGCGCATTCCAGGTTCGCATACTGAAGATCCGCACGCTCCAGGCAGCAGTAGTTCAGATTTGTATGTGATAAATTGCAACGCGACATGTTGGCATACTAATAACCAAAGACATAATACTTTACTATTTCATAGTTATATATACATATATCGCACGGCTATTCCTTACCTTAAAATTAATATTCCGAAAATCTAGTTTGCGTAAATCAGCGCCTGCTAGATTGACACCCTGAAAGCGCAGTTCCGTAATTGCTGATGTCTGTATAATGGCTTTTATCACATCGATACGTGTCAGTGGTCTATCGTCGAGAGGTTCTTCCTGTTCTAGCTTTTCCTCCAAGTGTGTGACCAGCGAGTAAATTCCGAAGAAACGTGCCTCCTCTAGAACGCCTCTTAAGCTGATGTGTTTATCGCACACAAATTCACCATGGCGTAAATAGTTTATAATTGGCTCGAAATACCGAGCACTCCGATCGATCAAGTATGCGCCCTGCTCGTCCTTTTCGCTGGGCATCATGCCACCATCCTGTAGAAACATTCTTGCGAGCATAGAGTCAGGTTCTCGACCGACGAGTGTATCAATTGTTGTTGTATAAATTTTTCCACCCACATTTAATTTCACCCATTTATTCGATGGAAAAGTATGGGGGTCGGGCTTCTCGCCACAAGCTGCAACATCATTTGTATTTTTTTCCGCTCCATCGCTTTCCATTGGGTTGAATTTTTGCAATTGTTTTGTTGTGGTTTTTGTTGCTGCAATTTCAGCAACTCCGATTTTTTCTCTTGGGCGAACGGGAATCGATTCATTGGTGTGGCAGCACACTTTTTCCGCGCTATCGATACTAATCGTTTGTCTGACGATAAATTGTCCATCCATAAATAATCTTATATTATTGAAGAAAATTTAGAATCATCCTCCGTCAACATATACTCATATATTTTAAAGCAGTACTGAACTCGTAATTTTAACTGTTAATATGACAACGGCCGAAGCCGAAAGACCTATTGGCAGCGCCAGTAGCAGCAGCAGCAGCTCGAGTGCCAATCAACGGGGTGTCAGTCGCGTACTTGCAAAGTTGTCTCATTCGTTGGCGGAGGGAGAGTTCTATGAAGCCCATATGATGTATCGAACGTTATATTTTCGTTACACGGCCCAGAAACGTTACCAGGACTGCTTAGATTTGCTATATGACGGTGCACAGAAACTAATCGAGAAGGAGCAGGAGAGTAGTGCTGCGGACTTGTGTTTATTGCTGGTAGATACGCTGGAGAAGCGTGGCCCACAACCAGAGGCCGCGGACAATTTCGAATGGGTACCTCGACTCGGTGGATTGATTCGCGGCTTAAGCGCAACTACAGTAGAACGCGAGACTCTGATCGTATGTCAATACTACAAAATTAAACCATTTGCAATTGTTCTTATTTACATTTCAATATATTTAGCACCGGGTTATCAAATGGAGCACCTCTGTGCATGGTCAGTTCGGACATCCGGTGTTGCACAAGCTAATAGCACATGTGTTCTGGACAGAGGGCAACATTGAATCGGCCCGTCATCATTACTTGCTCTGTCAGGACGGCAGTCTCTGTGGACGTGTGCTGATTGAAATAAGTCAGAGCAAGGGCTTTCACAGAGAAGTGGATTTGTTTTTGGTGCAAGCTGTGCTGCAGCAGCTGTCATTGAAGGATCGCAAAACGGCTGAAGATACGTTCACCGAGTATACACGATACCATCCGAAGCTATTGAGGCACGAGTTTCCCTACAATGAGCCTCTGGTCAATTTTCTTTATTTTCTCTTCCGACTCATCGACACGAAGAGCGTGGTTGGTTTTCGTGCCTTGCGTAAACTGTATGAGCCGTCTTTAAAACGCGACACGTCTTTCACGAAATATCTGACGAAAATTGGGGTGACGTACTTTGATGAGCAACCAGAGCAGGTGCATGCTGGACCCTCTGGACTTGGTGGCATGTTTGGCGATATCTTCAATCAACTGATGCAAGGGTTTGATGACGATGATGATGTGCAAAGCAGACCGACGCGACGTCAAAACGCTAACAGCGAACTGGACTAGCAGCAGATGCCGTCGCCGGATTGGTAGTCCGGTAAAGCCATCGGGATTAATTGATAAATTGATATATACACCGGGGCTTTCTTTGTAATATTATTATATATTTGCTAATTAAAATTTTGCTGGAAGCTGAAGTAATAAGCATATAAAGTTTATACATATAATCGAAATTGATGGAGGCATATTAGTTACCAAATGGCACTGTTTGTGCAAATGGTAGAAGGGAATTACTCGAAATGGCCTTGGTGCCCAGATATCATGAAATCGATGGTTCACTTATCGATTGTTACTCATCTCTATTGCGTTCAGTATTTTTAGTCTGATTGTTGTAAATTGCAATACCAAAACTAAGTACTTGTTGCTTTATTCTAACGATTTTTTGGGACGCTAAAACATATAGTCCATGTTTAGATTGTATTTTCATAAAGTGTCATAATAATACATATACATATACTGATCATTGCTCTGATATTAAAACTAACAAAGTGAATTTTAGTACACGTGAGTATAAATAAAGTAAACAAATATTAGCACGGTTTCATCTCTAGTTCACATATATTTTAGTTTCAGAAAGAGTTAGGAGGAAAAGTTGAAAATTAATTTTAATACTGGTTTGTAAGAAAAGCAGACTCTGAACGAGTGAGTTTTTAAAATTTTCTATGTGAGTTAAATCATATCAACCTGCCAATTTGCGAAAGCAAACCAACACATTTCTATAAATGTCGAAAAACTTGCAGCGATATGGATGATAAAGCAGCAGCGCCCACTGCCGACGCTGCTACCGAAACAGAGGCCGGCAATGAACTTTCAACAGTCGATCACACAACAGTCATAATGGAACCAGCGCCGAGCACATCAAAGTCAACAATTACCGAATTGGATAATACCGAGCGCTATACGGTGGGAGCTGTTTCAGTGGCGGCAGCCGCAGCAGCAGCAACAGCTCGAGAAGCCTTAAACGTCGATACGGAACGTTGTTGTTGGATTTGCTTTGCGACGGATGAGGATAATCGATTGGCTGCGTGGGTGCAGCCCTGCCAGTGTCGCGGCACAACAAAGTGGGTACACCAGAGCTGCCTGTATCGCTGGATCGATGAAAAGACACAAAAGGGCAGTGCGCTGCGCTCTGTATCCTGCCCGCAATGCCAAACCGAGTATATTATTGTGTTCCCACAAATGGGTAAGCTGGGTGTTGCCTTGGAAGCCATGGACACTCTGGTGAAGCGTTTGAGCCCTTTTCTAGCAGCCGGTTTCTTTGTCGGCTCGCTATATTGGACGGCAGTGACTTATGGAGCTGTAACGTTCCTCCAGGTGAGTCTATGAATAGTAATAACTACTATTATCACAACAATATTGGTGCACGCAGATCGTTGGTCACGAAAATGGCATGTCTATAATGGAAGCTGGAGATCCGCTCATACTACTCATTGGTCTGCCCGCAATACCAGTTGGCCTGGTACTGGGCCGATTAATCCGCTGGGAAGATGCCCTACTACGTTTGATACGGAATCGTGGCACCGTCATGCGCAAGTTTCCCTTTGTGAATTTTATATATCCGAACCTGTGAGTACTTTATATTTTCCAAAGTTCAAAGGTTATCTTAATCGACTTTAACCTTGTAGCAATCAACAGGAAGAGGAGTTGCCTACTTCTTCTAATCCGGCTACGCCCGCACTTTCTGATCCAGTTTCCGCAACGCGAATATTTTGCGGAGCTTTGCTGTTGCCTACAATATCATGCATTGTGGGTCGCATATTATTCGATTCAGTTGAGAACACGTTGCATCGCACACTGCTTGGGGGAATAACCTTCATTACAGTAAAGGGCATGTTGAAAATCTATTTAAAACAGAAGCAATATGCGCGTCGCAAGAAACGCCGTATTGTCGACTATACGGAAGAGAATATACGAAACTTTATGCACCGCAACAATAACAATGCAGGCGCCGCTGGTATCGGTGGAGCTCGTCATGTCCTGCAACAGCAACAGCACGCGCAGCAACAGCCAGCAGCTGCGATGCCTCGTTTGATTGGTGCTGCGGCAGCATCTCGAGATCGTGCTGGTCGAGAACGAGATCATGAACCCAACAGCGTTGACAGCGTTGTTTAAATATGAATGGACCCTCAATTGATTGATCAATTGATAATATATTGGATAACTACTTATTGTTCAACTAGTTCAGTTTTGATTTAACTTCATTTTGTTAACAACTTGGACTCTTAAGGCAAAGAAAAAAACTTTGATAAACAAAAATGGAAAAAGAAAACAAACAGATGTATGCACATGCGTGCTTGTAAGCCAAATTCATTGCGAGATTAACCATTTCAGGAATCTACTAATAACTCAGCCGAATATTGGTTGATTAAATTTCATGTTAATAAAACAGAAGAAAAATTAAATTGCACAGTCCATTTAGATATTAAATACATATAACTAACTATATGTATAGATATATATATTATATATAACACCTATATTACGCTTTATGCTTCCACACGATTGAATTAATGTTAACATTTTGTAAACAACAAATACTACAAAATTGCCTATGTAAATAAAACCGAGACCCTTGGCTGTGGGTGGGTTTATAATGATGCCAATGTCTGTACTTCAGATCTAAGACCCGAATTGAGAAACCTGTAGAGGCTATTTCAACTTGACCAGATTAGATAAGCTTCGCACAGCAGTCGTCGCAGCAAGAAAGTGTGAATAATTTCTTTATTTTGAAGCACTTTGCCTGCAAGCCACTCGCCCTGAGTCATCAAGATAATGAACCCGCTCTGTAACAATTGTTTATATGTATGTACATATATGTATATAGTTATATGTATGTGCGTAGCGAACTGTTAAGCATGGCTTTAAGGTGCTGCACAAGAGAAGCCGCAACATCATCGCATCTATCATATATGTATATGTATGTACATACATATATGAATGTCTGTACACACAAAAGTTACAGTTAAAGACCCGGACAAAGTGAATGCTCCAAAAAGCGATCTAATCATTTATAATTGTTAGCGACTCGAGTGTTTGTTTTGTCTATTTGCGCTTATCATCGACAACACACGAGCTGTTGCTGCTGCTGCTGCTGCCGCTGCTGCTGCTAGATGATATCTGTGTGTACATATAGAAAATACATACATACATATGTATAGCAAACACACAGAACTTCTAACGGGCCATGCCGACTTTTGCACTGCGCTGCAATCTACGGCAATTGAGATGGTTAATGACGATGATAAGACTTATAATATTGTAATGTATGTATCTTGGGGAGTTCTTTAGTTTTGATATGTTCAGCTTGTAGCGCATTAGGTTAGTCTGCCTAGCTGCAACTGTTTAACATCAAGTGAAGCACAGCCGAACAGAGGTAAAATTCGCACACACATACACGGATGATTTATATATGCCTCTGCCAAGGTGTTTGCAGCTGTGTGTGTGTGTGTGTGTGTGTGTGTGTAGCCCACCTGTTTGGCTTTTCAGGAGCAATCACACGGTCTTGCGTTCACAGCAGTTGAAAGATTTCTTACTGCTTTCTTTCGCTGTCGTCACACCAACAACAACAGCGACAGCAGAAACAACAACAACAATAAGCACAGCAACAGCAGCAGCAGCAACAACTACAACTCCAACGGGTTGCGTTTGTTCTTTGTGACTGAACGAACGTCCGTTGGGGGCCAAAGGCGGGCGTACACATAACGTAACGAATCGCTGAAGCTTGGGAGTCAGTCGTGTTGCTTGTCGACTCTGTATTGTTGTTGCTGTAGCTGAGCTGTTGCTGTTGCTGTCGTCGTTGTCATTTGTGTGCGACGACAGCGACTACGGTTAATAACAGCGCTGTGTCGGCAACTCCGCAGTCAGACGGGCACCGGCTACCAATACGCATCGCCAGCGACGCCTCGCGTTGATAACAAACAAAAAAATAAAATAATTAAATACAAGCCAACAAAGACTACAATAAATATTAACTAAAAATAAAAAAACATATGTATTTAGAATATACGATTGTACACATACTATATAGCACGTAGTATATGCGAGTTGTCGGCATTGTTGTTCGGTGGTTCCTCGACATCGAATAAAACAAACGAAATGTTTTGAAAGCGAATCGAGTTGTTGTCACAACTGCAACGGGCCACACACGATAAGCACTGTCATCATATAGCCGATCCTGAGCCAAGCAGATCCTACGATCGTCCCAGATCACCTTCAAAGATGAGCAACACAATGACCGCTGCCCACGAGCCGATCCACTATCTGGATAGCATTTTGAATGAGGAGGAGAAACGCTGCGGCGATCAATATTCACATCAATGGCGCAATTTCACAATATCGCGTTCGGGTCGCTTCAGATCGAAGAACAAGAAACGAGATGTGGTCGATGGCAAGCTCTTCGATGGCAAGGAAAATGATAAGGTGAGTGTGTTGCACCTGCCCCTTAACCCAATTTTCATTTTCAATTTCATTTCCATTTCCATTTCTATTGTATTTGTATATGTACTTAAATTTGTATATGTATTTGTATTTGTCTTACTTATCAGCAGACACTCCAAAAATAGAATATAACGACGATATATTATATTGATATGATAAGTGTTAACGTGATTTATATGTGAATATAATATATGTACATACATACATACGTACATATATGTATGTATGTATGTATCTGTTAGCAACGGGTTTTGGGGCTTTTTTCTCTTTGCCTTAAAAGTCCAAATATCAGTTTACAAGTTTTTGCTGTGTTTTTCATGTGAATCGAAGAAACAGCAACGACAACAACAACAACAACAAATGGCATAAAAAACGGAAATGCTCATTAATAAAAAACGGAAGTTGGTTTATTATGATAAGACTGTGTATGCAATCAGCTCTATGACGTTATTTATAAAAACTGCTGACTATCCTATATACATATAAATAAATACATATGTATATGTAAAGAGATATACGATATATCCTATCACTGCAAGGCGTATGAATATTGCTGATGACAAATGCTTACCATTTCTCGAGCTGGCTGTATAAAAATAAGTGCATTCTCGATGCCAAAAGTAGAGATACGTACAATTATATATAATTATATATATATATGCATATATTTACTTTATATTACTCATTCGTAATTAAAGCAATTAGGAGGCGGCGTGTTCAGGGAAAAAGTGGCAAAAAAACTTTAAACTTGTTTATGATCAACACGAGCAAAAAAATAATTGAAAAGGTTGCCAAGCTTAAAATTATAAATCATATACAAACAGAAGGCGCCTTTAGTCTTTATACTAATAGGGCAGAAAATGAAGTCACTTTAAGATATGCCATAACTAGTGCAAATCGCTCTTGCTTCAAGTTTGGCTTCCTATAGACCAGATAAGATTATTGACGGTACTTTTTCTGCTATCAATATTTTGGCCTTCACTGCAATTCTCCATTTTATATATGATGTACATATATCTACGTCGCAGATCTTTCGGAGTGTGCTGCCTTAGAGCCTAGCAAAATATCTTTCGTAAATGTTCTTTATGCCCCCATAAAAGGGCTGTATAAAATATAGACTAATAAAAGAACAAAATTGGTGTAAAACGCAGTTAAAAATACATTATTTTCTTGCAAGTGATAAAAAACGAAAATAAAATATAAAGAAAGTAAAAACGCAAGAACAGAACTCAGTCGGGTGCAAGTCAAATAAAGTAAGATCAATAAATATCTATATATATATGTATATACATACATATATGCACACATATGTGTATGTATAGCGACCGACAAACACACCTTTCTGGAAACTTTATTTCGTTTGGCGCCGTTGTAAGATGAGTAAGGCAAGCGAATTCAACAAAATGTCATATAATACATATTCAAATTTCGTTACAAAAAAAAAGGAAGATATATTTATATACATACACACATATATGTACATATATGCATACACATGCATGGATGCGAAACCAGATACATTGCAGAGCAGCCATAAGAAGAAGAAACAAGTATAAATGAAAACAAAATTTGTTTCTGTCATCGGCACGCGTCTCTGGTTAAATTTGGCAAGTGAACCGGCCAGCCGGTCGGTCAGTGGGGGGTAAAGCCTCAACCTGAGGGTGTTCCACCTGCCTTTTTTTTTTGTTTTACTTACGCAACAAATGCAATGAGCGAACGATCGGTCGATCGATTGATTGTCAGCGGCAAACGTGCTTGCTGCGTCATTGCCGTCTGTGCATTGAACTTGGTTCACTTTATGAAAAGCAGAAAATAAACAACAACAAAAAGTATAACAAATATCGCTAGGTGCTTTATTACACCTTTTTAACCTATTCCAGATAGGACATGTTTAAGTGCTGAACAAAGTGTCGAGCTGTGTTTGCTTTCATTTTATAAGCTAGCTATAAATTAAGCTAAGGAGATAAGTTTTCAATATCTTTTTGACATAAGAGAACTGTAAATAGATACATATGTATCTCTAACTCATAATTCACTTCAGCTTAGACCTCATGGCGTATGAGTAACATAAAAGAATTCTAGCTTTCATGTTTAACTAAAATTTGATCAGCCATATGCATATTGCAAGTATTTAATGAATTTGAATTTAAAAGAGGATTTCAAGAACGTTTCTACCTTGACAAATAATCAAACCAACCATTTCTGTAAGTCTGTTATTTTATAATGAAACTTTCTTTAAAATAAGTAGAGCAACACGGCGTATCAGTTATATTTAACCAATCTTTAGACCTTCATTTAGTATTTCAGATCATAGTATTTGATTTTATATACACTTAAATTAGTTTTTAGCAGTCTCTTGACGTCTCGTGACGTCTTCTTGGTTTATAACATGCGAAAAATCAAAAAGCCTCTAGATTATATACATATCTCGCATAGGTGTATATATACATATGTATGTATGTGTACAACAATGATAATAGTAAAGCATGAATTATGGCCAAGGTTTTACCAACGAAAGCACTCAAACAATATTGTTTGTACCTATATCAGGTATTGCAAAATTTTCTTCATTGTGCTTTAACAGGGCAAAAACCTTATCAGCAACTAACAGTAGAGATTGCAAAAACAAAGGCAAACCTTTTTCTGTTTTGGTTTCTCTATATATATAGGGAAAAGCACCTATAAACATACATACATACAAACATTTATAGCATATAGGTAAGTGGTTGTGCACGCTTGGCTGTTCTGTTGCCGCCAGTTGTCAAAAAAAAAAAAAAAAAAAAAAAGCCGAGAATTATATTTATGTATGTATATACTCTATTTATGAATGTATGTTTGTATTGGGTGCATGTCGATAGCATGTGCTTGATTAAAATCAGGTGCTAAATCAAAAATATGACTTTGAACATGTCTTTTGATTACTTTTCGAGAAGTCAGTGTCTCTGATTGCTGGAAAGCCAAG